TCTGGCCCGTGGGGATTTCTGTACATGTTCCGTGTTCTGGCCCGTGGGGATTTCTGCGCATGCTCCATTATATCGCGTGATCAATCGGGCAAGATTCAGTCACCTAGTCAGTGGCATTCACTGGATATGTTGACACCAAATATGATTGGATTTCCATTCTCTTTATCCCTGAATAAAAAGAGAACAGTACCTCAGAAGGATGAACTTTTAGGAAAGGCTCATATAGATCTAATAGTCTTCTCAGATTGTTTCTGGTTACATTTTTTACGTGAAAGTTTGACTCTGACTGCAATGATCTGACCAAATTGACATTTTGGCCGTGTTTACGCTACCTAAGACTAAGACTAGATCAAGGTGATTGGCTCCGGGTGGGCAGATAAATGCTAGCCACCCGAGGTCGCAGAAATCCCACGGGCCAGTAGCATCAGGCTAATAGACCGAATTTGATCGAGTAGCAAAACGCTAGCCACCCCAGATCGGGCAACTAGCCTGGCCCCGCGGAAAATTGCGTTTTTGAAATAGAAAAATTGCAAAAAATTGCAAGGTAAACTGCCTAAAAATTACAAAAAATTGCAACCTTCTCATCCCAGGCGCATTAATACGGGCTTAACATTTTTACTTTAAAAAACATGTTAATTTGAGTACCGGTAGCATTAAAGCAGAACAGCCTTTAAAAAAATCATGACCCACAATACAAATTTTATTAACAACATTTACTTGTAACAACACACGAGTACGTTAACAATAAAGTTATCGACCAAATGTAATTTAATACCGCGTGACCCAAAATAACGGTCCCCTCGGTTTTCGTAATAACTTTTAAATGAAGGCATAAAATTTGACCAAATTTAATAACCGGGTACTTGTCATGCAAAGGTCTAGAAGTGTAGTATGAGGTTTAGTTTGTAACAAAAAATGATGGGAGATTCGAACAACTTCTAAATGCAAAATTAGCTTATGCCCCAATCAATTCAGATCCTATTCTATTTTTCCCTTGATACTTTCGATACACCGGTAATCTGTATTTAGATCTAATTCAGATATTTATTTCTTTTTTAAAACCAGTATGGTATTGTTTTAACTCTAAGTCAAATCGTAAAATACTGCAAATTTTTGTCTCCATTTAATAGTAATAATAATGTATATCATTTCTATAGCGACCACTCTCGTGTGAACGCAGCTTATTAAGGCGTTTTACATTTATTAAGGGAGTGTCTACGTGCATGGTAACCAGGCACCTAGCCTCAGTGTCTATGTACACTGTAACGGACAACCGGGCACGTAGTCTCAGTGTTGTCATGTACTCCTCGGTAACCAAGCAGTTCAAAACTCCATATTCAGTTTTTGTCATCCGTTGTTGCCTTCAACCCCAGCTCTCTCCCGACTGTACCTTTTTAAAAAATCAATAATCCCCCCCATTCCGGAGCCCTATACTTCGCAGCCCACAGACTTTGAATGAATTTTGGTGACCCCAACCGGTACTCACAATGTGATGCGAAAGCACAAGTTCACTGACCGGTCATGATTGTGAGCCTCTAGCTCCAAATACTCGGATATACAAACAAATTACACTATGGTACCGAAGAAAAGCTGAAGTTTTTCAAGGTTTACAGTATTGGTGTGTTATAGCGAAAGAGCAAAGAAACAGCGATCTGAATTACCTTGATTTCACCGAAACCACGAGCTCAGAAGGCCGCGATTCAGCTTACGTGCCATTTTTAACGCTTCTTAATTATACATTTGCAATAGCACTATAAACACACGAGCGCACATATACATACATACACACGTGCACACACAGAAATACACACACACACACACACACAAAAACATACACGCACATGCACATAGACCGTCTCTGTGGGCTCTTGGTAAGGAGTCCACCTTGGGAGATCCAGAGGGAGATCAATTAATCTTTAAAAATCCCCCACTAAAACACAATAAAAATGAACTTTTAAAGTCAGTCGAAGTGTAAAACTGAAAGATCAACAGCCCATAACACTAGCAGGGCACGCCTACACAGTCAGCTGTTAACGTAAACAAGCTTGAAGTGGACTAGGAGTTACCGTTCTGACCCGTTTAACCAATCAGAGCTCTCAGCCGTTCATATTGACACTAAGTTGTTCATACAGTGGATGTCTCATTCAACGAGAAGTCGGCTCCAACGAGGCAATCCTTAATCCCCGATTTTTTTCCTCTATATCTCTTTGTATTTAATGTACGTCAGCTCCAACGAGGTTGCAAACAGACCAAAGTCGCTTTCAACAAGGTCACGATAACCAAATAAAAGCAATTAGGGGGCCCAAAAGCGAAAAATTGTTCTCCTTTCTCTCCATCTCCAGCGAAGCACAAGGCCCATCCTTGATTCCTTACACATTGTATTGCTAGATCTAGTGTGCCTCCTAATATGGGCCCCAAAGCCAAGAGGATAGGCGAGGGTTAGCCTACGGTAGGGATGGGAGTGGGAGTGGGAACGCTATGTGGGGTGTATGAAACTGGATGAACTCTGGATGGGTAGGTCTAGATGGATACCTTCGTTTTTTTTCAAATTGTTGTTTTCCTGATCAGAAAATCCAAGCTCCCGCCTTTAGTTTATGTAGATCTAGGCCTAGATGTGAGAGGGTATGTTTCCACACGAGAAGTGTTCCGGAAAAAAAATATTTAAATTTTAAAATGCAGAAATGACGGTCAGAACACAGCTCAAATGCACGCACTGATGCTGTTTGAGATTTTCGTCGTTTTAATTACTGGTATTGGTACATCGTATTATATAATAAATTGTCTCCTTTCTTTTCTTTAGCCTTAGTCACGTTCAACGAGAGGTCGGATCCAATGAGGACAACAAGCCGGTCCCGGTAACCTCGTTGAATGCGACACCCACTGTATTTCAGACCATTCATGCTCGAAAAGGGGTCTAAATCTAAAAATAGGGGCGAAGAAAGGATGTTGAAGCAAGGTGGCCATGGGGTAATTTATCTCACAGCTACACATCAGCAGGTCAAATGTTCGAAAGGGTTTTGAGGTCCAAACTCCTTTATTTCGTTACCCAAGCACTCAACAAACCGCACACGCCTCCAAAATAAAATGAAATATATAGTTGATTATAGTTGTTTATTTTGATCTTAAATGAAACAGAAGACATCAAACTTTCAATAGATGAAGAAAAAAAAACCATTCATGGAAAGTCAATTTTTAGCCTTTCGAGCCTCGTAGTTCCAAATTGCGCATTGCGTCTTGCGACTGATTTTGACCGGGGTGGACACACACACACACACTTTATTACATTATGTTTATATGTGAAGTTGAATGAATGGTCTGTCTGCAAAATTCAATCTTTGTATCTAGTTGCTTTTGACTTGAACAGAAATGCCTAATACATCACAAGAAACCTATAGCGCATCCCTGATAAAGAACGAAACTGGAAAAAATTTGTATTGTATTCTGTGTTCTTTTACGAGTGGGAGTCAAAAAGTAATGCAAGTTCCTTTGTCATCATCATTGCTTTTTTAACTCTGCTTCAGGGTATAGGCCACGAACAAACACTTTCCACCTTTCTCTCTCCTGGGCTAGCCTCTTGATGTTATTCCATGTTTTCCCACTTTTCTGTACATCAATTTCTGTGATTCTTCTCCAGGTTTTACGCAGTCTTCCCCTTGATCTTTTGACCTGTGGATTCCAATCCAACACTGTCTTTGTTATGCAGCTGCCTGACCACCTAAGAGTATGTCCCATCCATCACCACCACCTTCTTCCTACCTCATCTCTGACTGGGATCTGTCTTGTTTTCCTTGACACTTTCTCGTTGGTGACTTTGTCTGTCCGTCTGATCCGCAGTAACTTTCTTAGACACTTATTCAAGAAAACCTGGATCCTATGTATGCCAAAGTTCATTTATAACTTAAAGAAAAAAGAAAGCAGTTGCTAATATCATATCTCAAATTGAAGGGGATGATCTGAAGAATTGATTTTTATTTCTCAACATAGACTTCATTTCGTTCAATAGCCACTGTCCACCTTTTATTAAGTCCAAGTGTGCTAGCTTTGTAAAACTGAGCAGGCTGGTCTTTTAGCCCATTTTTCACAGCAGCCTTGATTTCTCCATTGTCTCAATGGTTCTTTTCTAGGACCGAAAAGGTGAAAGTCTGAAGATGTCAAATCAGGAGAATAAACTTGTTGTGGCAGTATTTTCCATCAAAACGAGGTCATTGTATCCCTTGTTCTGGTACTTGTATGCAGGCAGGCATTGTCATGGTGGAAAAACACTCGTTCCATGTTCAAATTTGGTCCTACTCATCGAATTCTCGCTTCCAGTCGTTTTATTGTTTCAATATAGGCTTCAGAATTGACAGTTGTTCTTCGTGGTAAAAAAAAAATCTTGAGAGGCACGCTATGAACATCTCAAAACATGATTGCAATGATTTTGGCGACTGAATATTTGGGATTATGCTTGTCTGATATGGACACCTCTTTCTCTTTTCCGGTCCTTTGCTCAAAAGTCTGACCCACCTATATACAGTGCCAAAATCTAGAACTTGGGGTCCTTGTAAACATTTTGAAGTCTCTTTTGGATGTTACCCGTGGATTCTCTTTCTAATACTTATTCAGTCACAGCTCTTTTCTTCTGACAGACCTCCGGGGGGGATTCTGGCAAAAATCAAAGAAAATTAAATGTTAACAGTTTGAGTTCAAAAGTACGTATGCAAGTACTTTTGAGCTGAATTTTAATAAAATTTGATGCAAAACTGAAAAATAATAACAACTTGCATTACTCTTTGACTCCCCTTTGTAGTATCATTGCTTTCTTTTGACTGTTCTCTCTTTATGCACCTGCATAGTTTTTTTTTGGCTTAGCTAAGAAAGAGAGTAAATTTTGCAGAAAATGATAAAGTGAAGAGGTATAAGATGAGTACCTTTGAAGGCCCTCATTGACTCAAAGGTATTTTATTGCAATGTCTTGGGATGAATATGTTCCGATGAGCCGAATTTTTTTTCTCCCTCAGATGACCAGAGTCACAGTGGTTCATCGAAGGTGAGAATCTAAATCTGATATTGTGGTAAATCTCTGTCACAAGGTTGATTGATGTTAGTTGTTAATAGCGCCGTTTGAGGATCAAGCTTATGAGTGGATGAAACTCTATGTGAAGCAAATGAGTTTGTAAAGACAACTGTTCAAATCAAATTTTTAAAGGAAAATTCAGAATAGAAATGCTTGTATTGGGTTTCACCTGACCAAGACCTCAGAAGAATATTGAAAAGCCAAAAGTTTAAAATTATAATAATAATAGATAGCATTTGTATAGCGCATATCCCCGCTCAACAGCAGGCTCTATGCGCTTTACACTATATTATTACCCCAGCAGACCATAGAACACTCCGAAACATTCTCAGCTTCCCGGGAAGCATACAGTGCAAGCAGCTGATAAAGCGCTCAAACACTAACAAACTGACAAGATCTTTCGCTGTCTATAGCTGGGTACCCATTCCCACCTGGGTGAAGTGAGGAAAATTCGTGTAAAGTGTCTTTCCCAAGGACACAATGTCGGGCCCTTGACGGGATTCGAACCCACGACCTTACTGTTGCGAGTCCGAGAGCCTAACCACTAGATGAGTGGCAGTAGAAGAAATGTCACCAGCTGAATTGACCACCCAGGGACAGGCAAGTTTTCTTGTCAATAGCTGGGAGAAGATTTTAAAAAAGGAAGGGAAAGAAACAATCCCAGATTTCAAAAGAAATAAATAATAGATGAGTTCTTTCGTCAGCATCATGGGAGGCATTCTGACTATTCAGTTGAGTGCTGGAGAATCAAGTATGGTGAAAATTGCCTTCCGGTTCCTGTCAATGGCTCTTTTTCCATTCTCACTAAAAATAATCACCTCATAGAATGGTGTCCTTATAGATCCACAGACGAGTTAACAATTTTTCCCCTCCCTTAAACTCCTACAATCTTAATCATCTTCATAAATATTTCCTAGGATTTTTTATAAAGCCTGGACTATCACAATGCCTTAGGAATATTATCTGAATACTGATCATGAATCTAGCTGAAAGATTATTGTGAACGATTTTTCATTTTTATGTCACATGGCTGTGGGTCTGTTGGTGAGTGCAAGCATGTGTGTGTGTGTGCGTGCGCGCGCACACATGTGTGTGCATGTGCGTGTGCGTGAATGTATATATAGCATGTTTTTTTTTGTGTGTGTGTGTGTGTGTGTGTGTGTGTGTGTGTGTGTGGTGAAACACTAAATCAATATACCAGTATCTGGACAATTAACTTTAATCTTATTTTATGTACTGTTTATTTTCAGCATGGCCCTGTACTTTACTTATGCATAGTGATGGAATTGTGTGATTCCACACTAAGGGGTAAGTAGCAGGTTAATATTGCTGTGAATTTGAATGTTTGGAATGTGAAAGTTTTCTCCTCCTCCTCCTCCTCCTCTGCCACCTCCTCCACTTCCTCATACTCCTCCTGAGTGGGTGGTTGGTGGGTACTCTGATGTGATTTGCTCTTTCTTTCCCATCAGACATTTGTTGTCCTTAGCTCTCCTTATTTTGTTTGTATGTTACACTCTGTTAACACCTCTAATCTTAGGCACTTAAATGACCCGATTGTGTCGCAAGTGCTGTGAAACTGTTACTAGTCATACTTCTTCACCTCTGTTTGCTGCAGCTGCTGCTTAATATCGGGAGTAGTTGTCTTTGTTTTTCAACCAACGATGCACCAACTAATTTTTCACTTTATGGTCATTGTCCTTCCTAGAACATGCACCCTTCATTTTTCAGGTGTCATTTTCAGAGGTTCTCTAAATTGTTTATACTAACCAGAGTAGGGATTAATTAAAAGTTGGGTGACCTTATTTAGGCCACAGTGTGGCCTAAATAAGCTAAACCCCCCTCCCTTACCTTATTTAGGCCACACTGTGGCCCAAATAAGCTAAACCCCCCTCCCTTACCTTATTTAGGCCACATCATATGGTAGATTTCTTGAACTAACCATGGATTCGGAAGGTCGAGATTCTACTGATCTTTTTATTTAGTGCGGGGGATTATTTCAAAATAGAGGATGATACTGAATGATAAGTGGACCAAGTGTAAGAGTTGTGTGTGTGTGTGTGTGTGTGTGTGTGTGTGTGTGTGTGTGTGTGTGTGTGTGTGTGTGTGTGAGTGTGTGTGTGTATGTGTTTGTTTTGTGTGTGGTTGTGGTGAGAGAGAGAGAGAGAGAGAGAGAGATCTAGAGAGAGAGAGAGAGTAAATGTAGTAGTGTGTTTGTATGTGTGTAATGTGTGAATGTTATTGTGTGCATGAGTGTCTATCTCAGTTGTACAGTCCAAATGTACATTATTTTGTTGAGAATTTTACCTAGAACTCAACTACAAAACACCTTTATACAAAGTCACAGAAATATTCTTTTTGTGCTTATTGAGGTGCAGTACAGGGTGATTAAAACCTGCAAGGATAATTGGACAAAACTGGCAATATCTTACTAATGCTAATACTAATGGTCATATTTAGACAAATCCTATATCATTCTCTTTTTTTCTTAACAGCTCATGGTTATTAAAGAGTAAGCAAACTAGATCAAGGTAGTAATTTCGGATTCCTAATATTATGGGCATTCTCAAAAAATTTTAACTTGTTTTTAGCGCTTTTTTCAACGTAAAACGGATCCCTTTAAAAAACAACAACAACAATGACCTTATCTTTCTTTTTCAAGGTATTGTGCATACATTTGTGTGAAACTATTTTATTCTATGCTTTCAAGTACACATGAAAAAAGCTAATAAAATCAAGCAAAATGTTCTTCAGAGACATAGATCTAGTAGTAGGCCCACTGGAACATTTTATAAACCGTGAAAAGATGACCAGAAAATAACAAAATTATCTTATGATTTTCACTTGCACTTGCAATTTTTTGGACAAATTATCGTCTACCTCGTTATCTTTTTTTTTTCACATTTTTCTTCACTATTCATGACAACTGGCATGTTTTTCAGTTATTATCAAGGAAGTGGATAGGCGGACCTCGGGGTCAATCTAGCCCCAAAAGGATAGGTGGACCGCGGGGTCTACCTAACAAAATGCTGTTTTAGGATGTGAACCCTGGAGTCAGCGTAGTGAAATAAGTAGATCTAGGTTTGACTAAGGATCGGTGGACCCCGGGGTCAACATAGTGAAATAAGTAGATCTCAGTTTATTTTATAGTAAGACTGGCGGAGCCCGTGGTCAACGTAGTGAAATTATAAGTAGATCTAGGTTTAATAAGGATTGGTGGACCCCTGGGTCAACGTAGTGAAATCAGTAGATCTAGGTTTAATTAAGGTTTGGTGGACCCTGGGGTCAACGTAGTGAAATAAGTACATGTAGATCTAGGTTTAATTTTAAGGATTGGTGGACCCAGGAGTCAACGTAGTGAAATAGGTAGGTTTAAGGTGGACCCCAGGGTCTACCTAACGAAACTCTAGTTAGGTTTTAGAATAGGTGGACCATGCGGTCACCGTAGTAAAATAAGTAGGTTTAATCACGGTGTCCCGGAGGTCCACCAATTCTTAATTAAACCTTCTTATTCCTCTACGGCTATGGTGACTCCGGGGTCCACCAATCCTTTTAAAATTAAACCTACTTATTTCACTACGGTGACCCCGGGGTCTACTGATCTTTAAATAAATCTACTAACATGTATTTCACTACGGTGACCCCGGGGTCCACCTGTCCTAAAACCTAGTATTTTGCTAGGTAGACGCTCCGGGGTCCACCTTAAACCTGCTTATTTATCACTACGTTGACCCCGGGGTCCACCAATCCTTACTTAAACCAAACCTTATTTCACTACGGTGACTCCAGGGTTCACATCCTAAAACCTAGTATTTTGCTATGCAGACCACGGAGTCCACCTATCCTCTACAGGACTATACTATATCAATTTGCAATTTTCAATGATTAGCATTTTTTTTTTTTAAATATTGAATCAGAGACTCACTGTCTAAAAAGTCCACTATTAATGCTATTCTTATCAAAGAAAAGGCACAATTTGACTTTATGACATGTGAAAAAAAAAAGAGTTTTTAAAATATCCAGAAAATAACATAAAATGATTATTATATAGATCTAGATCTAGATCTAGATCTATACATATTTTATTATGTATATATATATATATACTTAAAAATAAAAGACTGAGCAGAGGCTTACAATGTAAATTCTGTGCTCTACACGTAGAGAAAGTCTTAAGTTTGCGCAAAACAGATTTTAGGGAAAAAAAGTTGGATCTAATTATTCTAATAAAAGTAAAAGTGATTGTTATGGTGAGATTTGTTATTATTATTTCTGGAAATACAGATAGTTGCTGAATCTAAAATTAACTAGAACTGTGCAATTTGTTTTATTTCAATTCCAAAGCCCAAAGGCATAGCAATGAGTTAGATCTAGATCTAACAGTTGTAGGCTCTCTGGCTGCTTCTAGCATAGGCCTGCTACTACTGATTCTAGACAGGGAATCTAGATTTAGCTATCACCTGCACTATTAAAGTCAAATATATGGTAAAATAAAAACAAAACTGAATCGCTTTGTCAGTCAGTACATCCCAATTGCCATAGCAGCACGTATTAATAGTTGAATAATTATACCGAAGCAACATGTTATCACAGTGTGCAGGGGAGAGCGGGGTGCCCGGGTCGCTGACCGGTCGATTCGGTGGTTCGGCTTTTGTAGATCTATGCATTTTTTACAGAAAGCCCTATTACTAGATCTATTAGTGTTGTGAAAACTTCAACCTCTACAGCTAAGCCGGCAAAAGATGTTGGAAAATAATAATACGTCCTGAAGTTTCATAATTTATACAGAATAATACAACCAGTAGTTTTTAATATCTCATCGAGTTATAAAAATGGCTTTGTAACTTGTTTTCAGAAGCAAATTTTAATAGTTACAGTTCTACCGAATCGATTTTCACGCAAATTCAACCATTTTGATGACCATTTCTTTTCCTTTTAAAAAGATATAGCCCTGTCGGATGTGGCAGTGCGATTAACACTAAGTTGTTTAGACCCATCAAAACACGAGGCTTCGTGGCCGATCACAAAGGTCTACGGGGCTTATCGAGGCCGATTCGCCCTGCCGCGTGCACGTTCACTAAACTGTCTACTAGATAGAATCTACTACCAAAGATTCTTCTCGATCTTTGCTGCTGCTGCTGCTGCTGCTGCTGCTGCTGCTGCTGCTGCTGCTACTATTACTACTACTACTACTACTACTACTACTACTACTACTACTACTACTGCTACTACTACTAGACAGTACGAGAGATGTACTACTACGAGACAGTACGAGAGAGTGCCACCCAGGCAAAGATAGTGTAACTTTGACTCAGCCACGTTGTGTACACAGTAAACAGTAAACACAATTTTTATACCCCAAATTTGACCCGGAAGTCCATTCGGAGGATTTGACCTTTTTACTTGACCAAAGTGTGCCAAAATGGTAGCCTAGATTTTGCCCCTCCATGAAGGAAAAATCTGGCCCTCATTCAAACCATTGAGATTGAGCAAAACTTTGCGTATCGTGCTTTGTTCTTACACTATTCATTATGATATATATAAGTTGTACACTGAGACAAAACTGTGCTAAATGAGAAAGATGCACCATTATGAAAGTGGAACGAACTCATTTGCCTTAAAAGGGTGTCCCCTGGTAGTTTGAGCATGTGTGGCCTAAATAAGCTAAACCCCCCTCCCTTACCTTATTTAGGCCATATGTGGCCCAAATAAACACTCCCTTAAAAGTTTTGCAGAGGCAACTGGTCTGATGAAGCTTGCTCTTTTTGTTCTTCTTCCAACTGTCAAGATGTGTTTATCTTGTTGCCCATGTCCCTTCTTGGTCTGGATGACTAAGTGTGTTTTCAGGATTTTATAGTACAGTCAAACCTGGCCTGACGGCCACCTCTAAAAGACGGTCACCTGTACGAACGGCCACTTTCCATTTCCCCCCTTGCGTTTTTACGATATAATTTAATTGTGTAAAACGGGCACCTGTCCAACGCGGCTGCGGCCACCATATTTTAACACACAACCCCTATCACACCAAGCAATAACACCTGTCTTAGACAGCCACCTAGGACTCCATTACGTTTTGTCATAAATTGTGCATTGGCCCCTGGCCCTGGCGTTGTGGGCGAGCCGTCATAATTCAATCACCTGTTGTTGTTAGGTAGTCCCTCCAACCGATCATGTTGCGTAGGCCCCTCCCACTGTTGACCAATAGCTACCAATTTTCAGCTGCTGGTGAGGTAAGCGTGTGATCCCTCATAACCCATAAGCCCCGCCCAGAACTCACACACAAATCGTAAGTGAGATGAGTGGTCACTGTT